TAATATTGTACTATGAATGTGTTTAAACACAAAGCATTGTTGGGAAACTCCTTAGAAATACTTGGACATGCTGATTTCTGTTGGTAGCAAAGCTAGCGTAGTGGTTTTGATTCATCTAGTTAGTGCAAGAGAAAAGGGTAGGGGTAAAAGTGCGGCCAAAAAGAAAATACAGGGGGATATGGAATGCAGTTCTGATGGTTAAACTATTGCCTTTCCATGACATAAAGTGGTATTTCTTTTTAAATAAATAGAATTGGTGCGTCAACCTTAGATTTGAATATTAGGTGCTACTGGCTTTTTTGGTTATTCATGACAATTTCTGATAAAATAGATTTGAGTATGCAAAGAAAACTTGTTGTATTTCAGTCACTTATTTTAGTTACATTGTGTTGTGAAAGAACAGAATCATTTTACTCCTTTCTCCCTAGATAATGGATCTGGGCTTAAACTCATGAGAAGTGTGCTCTCATGTCAGATTTTGTCAGATCCTGGGTTTTTTGCAGTCATTTGAGCAACTAGAATTCCTTTATTTGCATGATGCTCTTTACAGAAGCCGCTTAAAAATACAGAACTGTACTGAAAACAGTAGAGTTTCTATTTGCAATCAGAGAGAATTCATTTCTTGGTAATGCTGGTGAAATCTGTGATCCTTTGCTAGATCATAGTTAACAAAACGAGTACAGTTTAAGTATTTGCATCGTTGCTCTGCAAGAGCTCCAGAGGCGCTACATGTGTGTACAATACATAACATGCTTTAGAGAGCTGCATTTACTGCACTACAAATAATATCAGACTTGCTTTTCAATTTGTTTTCCTGTAGACCATTTTAGTAGGAGAGGAATGAAAAACGTCTCATGCAAGGAGTCTCAGAAGGGAGATTCTGAGTCGGGTGCAGCTGCCCTAGCGTGCGCACAGAATACTCTTGAGATTTCACTCTCTTGGTACAGCCATCTGGATGACTCAGTGGCAATTTGCTGGCATCAGCAGTGACTGAATTTGCAGGTTTCTTTTGTTTCCGTCTGGAATAACACTTAAGCAGTCGCTGGGCACATCAGGAGTCGCGCATGCCATTATCCGCTCCGGATGGATAGTACAGCTGTCCTGGCAGTTTTGTTGCAAGGTTGTCTATTTCTCTTGCTGTCACTTTGCCATTCCACTGGCACGCAGTGCAAGAACTCGCTTCAAATTGGAGCAAGTTGGAGGATTTCAGCATCACTCCTGACCGTGCCCTTCCCATGGGACGCCAACAGGAGGATGTGGGGGGATGAAGTGTTTTTTCCAGTTGCACAACTTGTGCTGGCTGCACCTTTATTTATCGTGGTGATGGCCTCACAACACAAGCATATGTCCTCGTCCCCTGTCATTCCTCCTGAGCAGATCTCCAGCACGGCTTGGCCACAGCGCAGCGATGCTTTTTGCTCTTGTTTGATTGTCTATGATGAGTCCTGAAAATGGTGGATCAGGTCTAGAGTTTCCATTGGTGGTCCAGGCTACCAGAAGTGTAGGTGTCAATGTTTCTGAGCTGCTACCTCAAATCCCTTTCTGGGGATTCTGCCTGTTACATGTAAACCAAGCGTGTGATCACAGCCAGGGTTCCTGCAGTGCTGATGGTCAGTCCTGCGACTAGGAGAAAATCCATCGATACTCTGTTGCTTATAATTACTCTCAGTTTTATTGTCAAAGAAAGAACTTGATTTCCTTGGATGAAGGCAGAAGAAATTTACTGCAGGGTTTTTTTTAATGCAGAAATTTGAGTTGGGTTCCTGGTTTTTAATAGTAAAAACTGGGATGGGTGGTGGATGAAGGCTTGTCATTCATTTATCGGTCATACCTCTTTGTGCAGATCGGTGTTAATTGTGAGCTCTGGGCTTTTACAGATAAGGTTTGTTAATGAGCAAGAACTACATTTGATAGCAGGCAAATAAAACCAAAAAATGGCCATGTTTGGTCTCCTGGCTGCCTGACCTGTGAAACAGGAATTAAACCATTCAAAGGGAGTCCACAGTCTCTGCAGCATTAGGATGAGAGGTTTCCAGAGCTGGATTCCCTTCCTCCCCCTTGCTGCAGTGTCCCCAGGCACACCCGAGCTTCTCCTGAAGTCTTCCAGAACCTGTTAGTCCAGGCTCCCTTGCACAAAACAGACTGGCTCTGGCCACAAGCCTGACTGCAGGGGTACTGGGATCCACATGCACCAAGAACAACATCAACAACTGGGATCCACATCACTAAGAACAAACCCAAGCTACTACTAAGTGTTGAAGAGACCAGTGTGGGTCAGGAAGAGCAGTTGTGATGAGAGCATCTGATCTTTCTGCCTCAGACCTGCTGACCATGGAGAAAAGAAAGGGGACACTGCATTTGTTCCTCCACTGAGGACTGCTCCAGCACGATGGCACTGCAAAGAGACACAAGCAGAAATTCCTCTGTGGTTAGCAGACCGGACTAGAGGGGAAAAAAGCTTGGAACAAAGGGTCGACTTGAAATACTGACTTTCCACAGGATCAGCACAGGTTGTCTGAAGCTGTAAGAATAAATAACAAATGATGAGAGTATAGTTTATGTTGTGGCTCTTAAGGAGGGGCCAGTGTTTCCATTTAAAAGTATTAAGTTTGCCAGAAGTTTCACTTCGGACACAAACTGAATGGTTTGAGAGAGCAGTCCAACTTGATTTTTTCCTTTGCTTTTGGGCTGCAGCTTCTGTATTTCTTACCAGGGCTTAAGTTGCAGAGGCAAATCTCTCAGGCTGTTAAATGGTTCAAAACAAGGGTAGCCACAAGGGTCTGAAAATGAAGACAAGGGAGGGGAAGCCCATGGGCAGACTCCTAAGAGAGGAGACTGTCTATGTTGAAGCCTTGGCAGTGATTTATCATAGAATAGTTTGGATTGGAAAGGATGCTCAGAGGTCCTCCAGTCCAACCCCCCTGCAATCATTGTGGGCTACTCCAAAAGACTGAAGGTCTTATCCCCAAATGGAGCAGTTCAAACCATGGCAGACCCCTCAAATGCCAAGAGAGAGGAGCTGGCAACTAATCCCCTAGGGCAGATCTGCTGTACAGCCCGGTGGAGCAGAGCAGGAGTGGCTGAAACCCTTCTCCTGTTGGGGCATCTGTGGGTGCTGCTGTGCCCACCCAGCTCCTAACCCCTTCCCAGCCCCGACCCTTCCCATGGGGAGTTCGGACAGCGCTGGAAGTGAGTGAATCTCCTTTTTATAGCTGTGGGTGGCTGGCTGTGAATGCTCAGGTTTCACCTGCCGCCTGCTCCCGCTGTCAAGGGAGCCTGTGCCGGGGAGCAGCTGGTGCATGCGGGGTGCAGAATGCATCGAGTCGGTGCTCAGCGGCAGCAAGGTGCTGCTTCCCACTCTGGAATCATCAGTTTTCCCTCCCTGCTCGGCAGCCTGCTCGGCTCCGCTCTCCCAGCAGACATTTGGCAGGGACACAGCCCTGCATTGTTGTTAGCTGAGAGCACCTCACATCTATTTTTCCGGCAAATGCAATTTGCTGGCATCACCGCGCTTCCCTCTGGATCCCGGGAGAGGTGGCTGCCGGGAATGCTGTGGATCTGGGGTTCTGATAGTGGAAGGTGAACTGGCAAAGGGTTGTTGGTGATGGGGGTCCTGAAACCCTCCCCCAGACAGTGTGTTGGGCAGAGGAACGTGGTTTCCCTGCAGGGTGGATTTAAAATGACTCACTGTCGGCGGTGGATCCTGGTGCAGACCTTGGCATGAGATCATCCTTGTTCTGCAACTGGAAAAGCCAACTTCAAGTTACTTCTCTGTGTGAAGTTTCTAGGCCTGGATCTCCTCTGTGCCCCTTGCAGAATGTTTTCCTTTGCGGAGGGTATTTTAGTGAGTAAAAGGAAATGCAACATCCGGGCTCTGACTTTGATCTTGTTCCTTTTAGTACTATTGTCTTTATTTTATTAGCTTACCTAAGTAAGAGCCTTTATTCTCTGCAGTTTATTGCTCACAGGAATTCTCAGGAATCGCGTTTTAAGGGGACATTCATATGGGAAGAACACTCAAAATCTGGTTGGTGAAAGGGTTAATTCCTCATGAATTAGTATGTTAATGAGTCCAGTCCAGAAGCAACACTAAATATCTCTGCAGCTTAAACACCCCTTTAAAAATAGGGTTTCCAACACTTGCACCATATGTCCCCTTATTAAATTCTCCTCTTACTGAATAATGACATTACCCTCTGAATGACAGAGGTGCTTGTTACATGATCTGACTTACAGATACATCTGGAACTTAGCCCTCGCAGGGCCTCAAAATAGAATGACCGATGCAGGAAGAACTTACTAGAGGACTTGTGAGGGCTCTTAGTACAAACCACTTCCACCCTTGCCAGAGCTTTGACATTGTCCAGTGAGCATATGCAGACAATACAGGGGTTATTTTATCTTGCTTTTCAGCATTTTCCTCTTCATTATCCTGTCTTCCCTTCTCCCTCAGTATTTACGAACCGGATCCTCCCCTCGCTGAAAGGGAATATATTGTGCAGTATGCAGCAGCAGTAACTCTTTATATAGCCAGTGGGAAGAACAATACCAACAAACATTGTGCTTCTGATGGGGTTAGGCTTCCATCAAAGTATCTTTTCAGATGTTATCTGTAGGCTGGCTTCTGAGAGGTGTTAAAGAAATGCCTCTGGTCCTGTGGGCACTTGTTTGAATTGGAGGAGCTCCATCTGAAGGGGGTGGGCTGGTGGCTAAGCACAAGTAATTCATGCTAAATAAGAAATGCTGTTGTAATTAGGCAGGTATTTTAAAGCCTAAATTGGTATTTGGGGGGGTGGGGGGGTGAAAGCCTCATACATAAGCAGACTTACTAGCTTCCTTTCTTCTTTTGCATGCAGACCTGGGGTGTGAGCCCCTGCTATTAGCTGCACAGACGCAAAAGTGCCTGAACTTCTCCTGTAGAGCTGATGCCACTTTTAGGACAGACCTTTAGCATTGTATTGAGCTACCAACAAGCACAATGTGATGTTTTTAACTTCTAGGAAAGCCAGTCATCAGCAAATGGTCCATCTCGTGATAGCCCCAAGCAGCCACCAGCAAGAGAAGTAAACATAGGATATCCCAAGCTCCGGGCCGGCTATATCCCTATTCCTGTTATCCATGAAGGCATCGACGGCAGACAGCAGCACCCGTGCTTCTCTGCTCCGCAGCCCGGTGTGCAGCGGTACAAGACAGAAGCTGTCCCTACCACGGTGCAGGCACAGCCACCTCTGAGGGGAGCCTATGCTGGCCCCGAGTCCCCTCCAAGGGGACCGGTGGAGGCTTCTCAAGCGGATAAACAATGTGGACAGACACCGGCAGCTGCAGCAGCCCCAGCGCCGGCCGCGCACGGACCCGAGGTAACTTGTCAGTGTTGCTGGGGTGTGTTTGCATTGGTCTTCGCAGCATGTATGACCTGAATGTCACACGGGTAGTTGATCCTTCAGAAAGCCAGACTTGCCACAGGATTACATTTTCCCAATACTTCCCAAGAGTATTCAAATGCAAAAGTGCACAGTCAGGGCAGCATAAATATGAGAGGTTTTTTTCCTAGCGTGGCCTGCTTTTGGTCTGCAGTGATTCTGCAGAAATAAATGCATGGAGATGGCTTCTGCAGAAAGACAGCCTCTGAGCTGTGAGGCCCTGCAGCAGGGGAGGGTTGTTCTGGGGTTTATTCTGCTTCCAGCATAAGTGGAGGGCACAGACAGGTTCCTGTGTTCTGCACCATGACTCAGAAAGTGAAGTGAACAAAAGTGGGAGAGACAGAAATAAAAGTGGCCAGGCAGCTAACAAGCCAGGCCACTTCAGAAGTGCTACTGCTGTGATCTTTGCTTGCCAATTTAATACTTCAGTTGTATTAAGCATATGGATTTACATACATATAGCTTTAAAAGTGAATTGTAAAGGAATTTGGTTCTTCAGAGGTGTGTTAAGAGTATTTTCAAGCTATGGACTTCATTGAACAAAAGAGTCACCCTGCTTGCTTTGTGTGTCAGGAGGTAGGATTTTGGTTTGCCTGTTCTCTCTGGAGAATGAGCAGAATTGGTGCTCCTGTAGTACATGGAAATACCAACCTCATCTTTATTCAAAGTAAGATGAGCAGGAAACGCAGCCTTGACCAGGCTGAAAATGTATCATCAGGTCTGTAATTGAGCAGTGGTGGAGTCTGAACAATGTAATTAGAAGTCTGTTAGCAGGTTTCTCAGCTGTCTTGACTAACGATGCCATCTCCATGCAATATCAGGGCAAGAGGCTCAGCTTTTCCTTCTCCCCACGCTGTTCAGCTTTGTCTTGTACGCAGAGTGGCTTTAGGAGCATGCCTTCTGTGCCTCTTCCTGAAGTCCTCCAACAAAACTAGTGAGGACCTCAGAACTTGCTGTTACAGACTTAGGGAGCACAGTGTGGGTATCAGCTGACCAGAGCCTGTGGTGGTGGCCTCATTGACATGGGGTTTAAAAGCACAAATCATGGCAGTGATGGATACCATAATACAAACCAGCATTTAACTTACTTATTCAAGGTTGCTGTTTCATGGGCAGCTGAGCAGCTCACCAGCACCAAATGAGGGGTTTTGCACCCCTTCCTCTTCTTGCCCATCCTTCTCTTGCTTTCTGGCTGTGTTGTCCTGCTCTCTCCTCTGCCAGCTCCAGGCTGACCTGGCCTTTCACTGAGACGCGTAACAAACCCATCAGGAAATGATTTTGTTCCTCTTACTTAGAGAGTGAAACTGGTCAGAAAATAGCCTGACAGCTGCTGGAGTTGGTGCACAGTATTTGGGGTGATGGATTGGCATAGCAGGAGGTGGGAGAGAGCTGTGAGCAAACAAAGTGCCTTTCCCCAAAGTGCAGACCCACAGCCTAGAACACGCTGGAAGCTGGATTCTGCAGCTTGCTTCTGCTAACAGCAGGTCTGAGCTAATGCAGCTCACTCGCTGCCAAGGGGCTAAGGTGTTGCAAGGTCCTAGGGGGAAAAAGGGAGCATGATCCGTATATGCATTGCCATTGCCTGCTACTGAGTTAATTACATGCTTCTAAAAAACCCCAAACCAAACCAAATCTGCTAGTGTGGCTGGAATCAGAAGTCTTAAATGCTGTGTGCCTCTGGTAGGGGGTTGTTTTTGTTTCCAGCGTATAATTTGTTTGCTTAACTTCAGCTTACCTCAAATTTAACAGGTTTAGACAGGAACAGCCATGCAAAAGCAGCAACCATTCTGACTGAGCATCCACTCCCTGCTCATTTGAGGGCTGGGAATGCTGTAGCTCAGGTTTCTACTTGTTATAATGATGCTCTCACAACTTCTGCGGTTTGTCTAGAGAGATCTTTCGCTCAAAAAACAAGGAAGTGCATGCCGGAAACACGAGTTCTGTTTCTGTTACCGTCTCCTTTTCTCTTTGGAAATGGAAAGCACTGTGAGCACAAAGTTTACTAATGGATTTCGTTTTCGTGGCAGCCTCAATGTCCTGGAGCTCCTGATTCTGCAACCTCTTCCCCTCAGTCCTCTGGCAGACCCAACGCAGGGAGCCATCAGCTTCCTCGCGGTTATATTCCAATTCCTGTGATCCATGAAAACATCCAGCGGCAACCAGCGCAGGTGTACCACCAGGCACAGAAGACACACTACCCTGCCCAGCAGAGCGAATTCCAAGCCCACCAACCAGTGTTCCACAAAATCCAACCAGATGAGAGGGAGCCGAAGACAACGCGAGCGCAGTCTCCATTCAGGATGGCCCAGAGAGGCTCATCGAGCCGTGACAGTTCACCGGCCAGAGTTACCACCCAGATACAGCCCCCGGCACCCATCAGAGTGCAAACAGTTGTAGACAGACCCCAGGTATGTAGAGCACGGAAGAGGCTTACAGTCCAGGTAGTTCGTTCAGTGTAGAGCTGAGAAATCAGCTTGTACTTGATGTAAAGCAGTCTCTAGTCTGGATTTAAACAAGCTGGGAGACACCGAGATGATACTGGCAGCAAGTGGCTTTTCCATCCATCAGGAGTGTGGGTTCTGTGGATCACTGAAATAGGATTTAGCACACAGTTTGATTTTCCTCTCGTCAGGGTATAATGTGGTGTAATGACACTGAGGTAGCTGATGTTGCATTATCGTTCTAAGAAGAAAATCAGGTCCGTGGGATTTGTGGCATCTATGTAAATAGACTTCATTGATGTCTCAGAACCATTTAGGATAGCATCAGGTGCACAGAGTAATTTTAGTTCTGAAGAAGGGATCAGCAAAACCTAGTCTTAGAGCTTTTTATTCTTCCCATATGAAGCGTGCTCTTGCTCATAGACCCTGTTGCTCACTGAAGAGTTTATCCATGTTAAAATTGTTACTAAAACTACTAAACCTACTGGGAATTTGACAAGTGTGTGTGTGTAAGGATGTGTTATAAAAACAAGCCTTGATTTCCTCTCTGGAGAGATTTCACATTAAAACTGACAGCAGAACTAGGTTAATAGTTTTGAAAACCCAGGAGGTAGTACGGAACAATGAAGCCTTCAGATTTAATGGCACATTCTAGCTTATAATGCTAATATATTTTTATGGGTGAGAATTGGAGCTCTCTGATCAAACTTTATGTTCGGTGGGTAAAGCAGTAACAGATTGTCAATGTAGGGCATTTACTTACTTGGTTTAAGTATAAATGTAGGTATTTTACTTAAGCCTTTTAAATAGTGCCTTTCCAAAATCACTGTATATGTGCAAGAGTAAGTGAACAGGGTGGCAGATGGAAAATACAGATCTCATGAATTGCAGTTTTCTGCTAAGATTTCCAAGCTAATCTCAATTGCAAGAGATGCCTGATTTGATGACTCTTAGAGCTGTAGTAATCCCAGGCATTGTCTCCAACCGCTACAGTATAGTAAGATTGACATAGTAACCTCTGTGTGTAAATACTCTAAAGATAAAATCAGTAAAAATAAGCACAAACAACAAAAGGAATGTCCTGAAAACAGAAATGGGATGAGAACAGCTCAAAATGTGGTTAGAACTCAGCAAAGCAGTTGGCTTTTCAAGAAGCACCAGCTGTCGGTGAGGATGAAATCTGGACTGTGCTGCAGGCAGTTCAGCAAATCCTACTGACTGCATCAGGTGAGGGCTTTGCCCCTAGGGTCTTACAAAACTGCTTGTAGGGATGATTCCAGTGAGCATGGGCAGATTGGTCTTTGAGAGTTCACTGGTGCTTATAATCTGCAATAGCTTGAAAACAGTAACAGAACTCTTCAGCACAGTGCTTTTTTAATGTTAAAATGGTAAAATTCAGCAGTGCACAGGAAAGATGAGTCATCTGGGGGGTGTGAAAATTGCACTTCTAGAAGCACAGAAAATGGAAGTTAGGTTACTTCTTCAGAAGGAAATAAGGAGCATTGTTCATTGTGTCTCAACACAAACTTGCTTTGCTCACCAGGTTTCTCAGCAACAACAAATCCCACCTCAAGAGCCACCAAGACCATCCCCTGAAATCAAACCTGAGAACAAGGTAGTCCCACCACCCCCAGCTGAGGCACCATCATCGTATATCCCAATCCAGATCGCCCACCAAGAGCCGGATACTAAACTACCCGCCCAGAAGCCTCCAGCCATGGCAGAGAAAGCTGATAAAAGGGTTCCTGCCCCACCTAAGATGGTTCCCCCGCAGGAAAGGCCTCCTCCTCCTGAAGAGGTGGCGGCACCGAAGACAATGGAATCAGGAGAACCTCAAAAGCATCCTGGTGTGTTGAAAGTGGAGGCAATTCTGGAGAAAGTACAGATGCTTGAGCAGGCAGTCAACTCCTTTGAAGGCAAGAAAAATGACAAAAAATACTTGATGATTGAAGAGTATTTGACCAAAGAGTTGCTAGCCCTAGACTCAGTGGACCCTGAGGGTCGTCCGGATGTGCGCCAGGCCAGGAGAGATGGTGTAAGGAAGGTCCAGAATATTTTGGAAAGACTTGAACAGAAAGCAGAAGATGTCCCAGAACCTGTTCAAGTTGATGGACTTCAGCCAAATTTGCCAGAGCCTAAGCCACCACAGGAAATCATGGAGATTGAACCTGTGGTAGTCAAGAGCAAGGGAGATACCAGTAATAAAGATGCTAAAGAGGAAAGCAAAATGGAAAGACACCAGCCTGAAACTAAGGAAGAAGTGTTTACCAATCTCACCACTACGACAAACACATCTAATAACCCAACTGAACCATAGCCATGTGCTGAACTCTGAGACTTTATAACTGAAAGTGTGTTTAAGTGAATTTTAAGTTGCATGCATTTCCAGAGCTCTTTTCAACTGGTTTTTAATCAACATAGCAGGCTTGGGACACAGTAAACACTTTGTGGGGGAAGGAGGGAGCTAGAAAGAAAGTAATGCATTTATCCTTTATTCTTACACTATGTAAAAGACATCAAAATTAAACCCTGTATGTTAATCACTTTCAGAGCAGAGTAAAAAAACCCAAAGCAAGTACTTCAGGGTTAATCTTGATGCGTGTTGTTGAGGGTGTATTCTTCTGCAGGTGATTTTTGTAAAATCAGAGGCCTGCACTGTCAGAATACCTGTCCTTCTCTAAGCATAGCCACTCTTAACAGTAATGTTTTTATTTCTAATGTTCACAGTTGGGCACTTTAAGTAATGATGAATAGAAAGTGTGTAAGAAACTGTAGGGATATTTATATGTGTGCAGGACTTCAATGCTATATTTTAAGAGGGAAATAAAATAATATAGAAGCCTAATTTAGTCTTGTGATTTTATAAGCTGGAAATGGAAGGGCAGTCACGGGTTTCAAATGCACTCCTCTAAACACAGGTTTCTTTTAGGACACTGCTGTAGTCTGACAGCTGCTTTCTCATCAGGACCAAAATGTGCCCTTCTCCATTCACTTGCTCCCTTCTAATGTTGTTGCTGTATCACATAGGTGGATTGAGGAAAGAACTTGGCTTAGCATTTCCTCATTAGTTTTTTCTTCCCCCTCCCTCTGCCCTGGGAGTCACCATTTAACAGAAATGTTGCCAACATGAAGGAGTTGGTTTCTACTGCTGTTGTCCACAGAAACTTACTTTAAAGCATCTGCAAGGATGCTGGACTGGGACTCTTCATCAGGGGCTGTAGCAATAGGACAAGGGGTGATGGGTTTAAACTTAAAACACGGAAAGATCAGGTTAGCTATAAGGAAGAAGCTCTTTACTGTGAGGGTGGTGAGGCCCTGGCACAGGTTGCCCAAAGCAGTGGTAAATGCTCCATCCCTGACAGTGTTCAGGGCCAGGTTGGACAGAGCCTTGGGTGACGTGGTCAAGTGTGAGGTGTCCCTGCCCATGGCAGGGGGTTGGAACTGGATGATCTTAAGGTCCTTTCCAACCCTAACTATTCTATGATCCTGACTTGTTCTGCAATGTCATTCGTCTTTTATTAACAACTACTTCTGAATTTCCAGCTAAACACACTTTTATTCGTAGAGCCAGTATGATGAAAGGTGCTAGAGCTGCCTGTGAACCGCTTAGGTAATACTTCATGGTTGTTTGAAGTGATTAGCAACTTACTTACACTTAAGCAAGGGACATAAAACATATTTCGGCTACGTCCATGTAAAATGAAAGCAGCAGAGTCAGCCCAGTGCAGAATGAGTGCAAGGGATGAAGGGGGATGCGCAACCAAACTCCAGAAGTTAACTTTGACTTGCATTTGTAAAATGAACAAATCTTTTCTTAACCTGAGAGCATGTGTTTATGAGGAAAATAGATGCTCAAGGCAATCGATTACATATTGAATTACATACACTCTTGACTCATGAGATTAGTTGGGAAATGAAGTTTAAACCTGTCTGAAAACCTGGTTTTAAAAAGCAGGTTGAAAGTGGTCATTTAGAGCTGTCACTCTATTATAAATATCAATATAGCATGTAAATTATAATGCAACAAGTGTTTTGAAATAACAGCTGGAATGTCTGCTTAGTTGTAGGTAGAAGGTTGATGCTGCTTTTAGTTTCATTTTGATAGTCAACACCACCTTGTAAGAAGACACAATGTCTTGTAACCATTTGGTTACTCCAGCTTTTGGAGCAGCATTGTAGTCATTCTAGCAGAAGAGGTATGAAAGTTCATCTGCCTGCATAATTCTCATATGAACTCACTTCAGTGACACATCCCTCCTGCAGGATTACATTTCAGTCGAGGACGCAGTTCTTGACATCATGTAACAAAAATACCTAAATCAGGGAAGATCAGCTATGGGTCCTTTCAGTTAAGCTATAAGCGAGGTCTGTGGGAGGCATGAGGCCCAATCTCTTTCTGGTTTCTCTTAGTAGCCCACTAAAGTAACTCAGATCAAACCCACCTCATTAGCTGAGGTGGCAATGTGGCAATTCAGATTACAGTCATAAAAACATAGCATTTACAGGAAGTTAAGCAGGTGCTATCCTTTTCAAACCTGTCATCTGCTGCTAATGGAGCCTGATTCATGTTACACTATTCAATGTTGGGCAGAGTAGGTGGAGTCAAGTTAAATGACAAGTGTTTGTTGTGTTTTTTTTGGTTTAAGAATTAAAGCTGCAGGTGGAGCTTCACTCCGCTAAGCGGGATTTGAAGAGTTGATTCTTGAAGGGAATGATACTACTGCAGAATTAGGTACCACTCAAAATGAAGCAAGGTTTCATGATCTGGCCTAATAAGGGAAAGTGCATTTAGCTGCCTGGCTGGAAGACTGCTGCTCTGAGTCATAGCCTCTCTTTGTTTCCTCTCTTGCTCAAGAATACACTACACCCAGCCCAGCATATATGTCTTGGCACATCAGCACAGCTACCAATTCTGCATATGGGCTCAGAGGAGGGAGCAGCAAAGGAGGAAGTGGATGAAGATTCCCACCCCTTCCCTGTAAGCTTATGACCTACCTACTCTCAGGGCCTGCTTGCTGCCTTGCGTTGGTACCAATGATGTGGGTAACTGGCAGAGGAGAGGGAAAGGATTCTTCATTAACTTGCTCTTCTGCAATGCAAGTACTAGCTGGTCTCTGGCTTGACCCTGAGTGAGTAACTCACTGGGAACTTGGCTTTGAAACTCAGGTAGAAAGTAATTATAGTTTTAATACTAACGATAAGAATGACATTATTATTGCATTACTGTTCAAATATAGCCGTGCACAACAAATGGCAGATGCGCTGTGGAATACATGGTGTTCAAATGCACACACTGCATTTGCAGTAGCCACTTTAAAAGAGGAAAATATCCAAAGATTTACATTAAGGAAAAGATAAAGCTGCCTGATACTCACTTTGAGTAAATGTCAAGCATTTAATTTGTTCAAGAAGCAAATAATCCCATTTCAATTCATTTAAAAGCAGTAAGAGGGATATGAAAAGCCTGTACACAGAACCACAGTAAAAGCTTAGGCTATTTTCTTATTGCACTATCTTGTCCAGCTAGTGATATTTTAAATGCCAGTAGTGGCCTGTTCCCTATATTTAAACTATCACAGCAGCGAGGCATTGTGTTTCCTATAAATACAGCATTTTGACTATTTACACACAACCAAATCATATCCCGAGGAAGAGGCAGGGGATAGTTCCATTGCCCCCAAGAACATGCCAAGACAGGACTGTGGCACTCTGGTGTGTGGTTTCACCCTCTCTCCAGTGGGAGGTACCTATCCCTGTTATCTGGGATATGTTTGACTTCCAACTTCATGTTAGCTTAGCTGTGTTTGCAGACAGGTTGGGGAAGGAAAGAAGTACAAGTGAAACTCCACCCAGAAGGCAGGAAGGTGACACAACACAGTTTGTAGAGGCAGGTCATACCCCTGCACTGCAGTAGCAATGTAAGCCAGCCTAGGAAAGCTTTAGTCTCAGTATTCTCAGTGAGGGTATCATGTCACACTTCTTACATTATAAAATGATAGTTGGAATTATAATAAAGCTGCTGGTAGCTGGCATGTAGCTGCTGAAGAGGACAAAGGTTAATTAAGGTATGCTTATGAGAAGGTTTGTATTTGCTAGGTTTTCAATCTCCCTCTTTAGATGTGTATGTATTGATCTTTTAAAATATGCAGGTGACCAAATAAAAGACACTTCTGCATCATGAACTTAAATGTGACACATACAAACATGAGAGTATGTGGCTCAGACTAAAGGACTAGTTACGGGCAGTAACTCTGCTTTCGGTCCTGTTGTGTCCAAGTAATGACATGCAGATGTGTTATGAAACTAAAGTAAATCATTAACTGTAAACATTTAATATCAGATCAAGCTCTGGTTTTGTTACAAAAGCTGTTATTGATCAATAATGTAGTTTTTCTGACAGAAACAAATCCAGTCCTTTTGGACCACTTTGGTAAAGGAGGCCTTTAGAACATGCTCATCTGAGCTCAGTAGTGCTGGCTGTAGAATACAGATCGAAGCCACAAGTTAGCCATGCAAAATACGATTTCCTGGGGCTTTAATGTAAATCCTAAAATGAAAAAGCTAAATTTCTCTGGATATATGATATTTTCATTAATGAAATATGAATGCAGTCATTTTAGCAATAGAGACGATCTTATTGGCACTTTCATCTATTTATGCAGGTAGGGTATCTCATAACAGTACTGGAGATCCAAATCAACCAGTCTGTTTAAAACCACTTTGCTCTTAAGATAAAGCATTTGCCTACAGATAAACTGATGACACTAAACTACACTGACCTTCGGGCACAAAGAAAGAGCCTTTTATACTGGATAACTGGGATTTCCCAGCTCTACACAGACAACGCAATAGGATTGTGGATGGCATCAGTCTACACTCCTGTGAAACACCAAGTGAACGCAAATGGTCTGTCCACTCTTTGTAATACTAGATACAAATGTAATTGTATGCCAGACAGCGTAATCCAAAGCAAGAGTTATTTTAAGATGGGCAAGAAGCTGGTTACAAAGCAGTGGAACATACCAATTCTCAGTCAAATACCTTTCCAGAATTTATAACTAAGCTTTAAAAGAGGGTAAAAATCAGACGTTAGTTCAGTTGTTACCTACCAGAATTGTCACTGCTGTCCCCAGAAGCTGAGAGTCTACATGAAAGGAAGGAACAGGTCTAGCCTTCAGTTTTTATATGCCCTTGCACCAGCAAACTGCAGGATAAGCAGGAGTAGAGGATCTCAGGGTGAATTTCAGATTAGAAAAAGAAAAGTGCATTTGGCACACACATTTCAGGAAAGGATTCCAAAGGGCACCAACTGGCAAAGACACACCTCATGTTTCGGAGCTAAACATGGTATATGGAGTCGTTAACCTCTGGTCCATTACATTTGAACTGTGCTGTTACACAAGGACCATGCAGTGTTCTGTGATGTGTTCTGCAACAAATACAGAAATCACTGTTAGAATTTGCACTAACTGATAATGTTATTGGAGGTCTCAGTAAAGAGGCTGGAGACTTGAAGAGACATGAAAATAAGTAGCTTCTCCTAATGAGTAATGGTACTTGTTCTAACAAACTCTGAACTTCTATTGTATCTACTGCAGATAGAGGATGTGTTTGCAGGGCTGTTCAGCTGCCTCCACAAATACAAGATTAATTTTAAGAAATGGAGGTTATCTTAGTTTTAAAACACTAAGAGAAATACACTGAATTTAGCAGCAATGGCTCTGGGACTTTGCCTGGCTTTACTGTATTGCTGCAGCACCTGACAGTGAACAGATTAGATTTGCAAAACCATCAGCATGGGTTACCTGAAGCCCTGATTTCTGCTTTTCAGCATTTTGTGAACTT